TTATTCACCTTAGTCGAATCTAGGTCGACTGTTGGCGACGATGGCCTTAGCCATAATATAATTGATGGCCTTGCTTTTTCAACTCGATGTGGGCGAGTCTTGGCCGTTATTTGGCGATAGCGTTGTTTAGCCTTAGTCCCAATTCGGACGAGGTCGAACCACCGGTCGTGATAGTATAAAACGCAGCCTCGTAGTTCGACCGGGGCCGAACTTTACGTGGCCCAAATCTTAATTCGAGTTGGGAGAACTTACTTGGATGGCGAGGGTGCCTATCCTGCGCTTCGATTAGTTGGAGGTCGGGCTTTGCTTTCACAGATGAAGGCGTTTGGCTTGAGTCTCGGTTCAACTGTGGTTGAACTTGCTAAAGTTGAGGACGAAGGCGTCCATCCTTATAGTTCGAGCGAGGTCGAGCTCGTTGGATTTAATGATGAAGGCACATAGCCTGAGTCCTAGTTCGACTGTTGTTGGGCTTCGTTAAATTTGGTGGCGAAGACACGTAGCCTGTCTTGGTTCAACCGTGGTTGAACTTGTTGGTGAAGGCGCATAGCCTGTCTCGGTTCAACCGTAGTTGAATTTTTTGGCGAAGGCACGTAGCCTGAGTCCCGGTTCAACTGTAGTTGAACTCGTTGGTGAAGGCGCATAGCCTATCTCGGTTCAACCGTAGTTGAATTTTTGGCGAAGGCGCATAGCCTGTCTTGGTTCAACCGTAGTTGAACTTTTTGGCGAAGGCACATAGCCTGAGTCCCGATTTAACCGTAGTTGAATTTGCTAATGAAGGCGCATAGCCTGTCTTGGTTCAACCGTAGTTGAACTTTTTGGCGAAGGCACATAGCCTGAGTCCCGGTTCAACCGTAGTTGGATTTGCTAATGAAGGCGCATAGCCTGCCTTGGTTCAACCGTAGTTGATTTTGTTGGCGAAGGCGCATAGCCTGAGTCCCGGTTCAACCGTAGTCGAACTTGCTAATGAAGGCGCATAGCCTGTCTTGGTTCAACCGTAGTTGATTTTGTTGGCGAAGGCGCATAGCTTGACTTGGTTCAACCGTAGTTGAACTTTTTGGCGAAGGCACATAGCCTGAGTCCCGGTTCAACCGTAGTTGAATTTGCTAATGAAGGCGCATAGCCTGTCTTGGTTCAACCGTAGTTGAACTTTTGGCGAAGGCGCATAGCCTGACTTGGTTCAACCGTAGTTGAACTTGTTGGTGAAGGCGCATAGCCTGTCTTGGTTCAACCGTCGTTGAACTTTTTGGTGAAGTCGCATAGCCTGTCTTGATTCAACCGTAGTTGAATTTTTGGTGAAGGCGCGTAGCCTGTGTCCCGGTTCAACTGCTGTTGAACTTTGTCGATCTTGATGACGAAGGCACAGAGCCTGAATCCCATATTGTGGGTATCGAGTGCTGGAACTCGTTTTGGATTCGAGACCTTGAGCGGCTTACCCATTGTCTTCCCAACCAGGGTATATAGGCTGTCTTGAGGCGAATCTCGGCTCGAGATATCTCCGTGCCGGTTTCCGACCGGAGTTCGTATGCCTTACAGAGACCTCCCCTGAGGAAAGGAGGGGGCCCCTTCTTCTTGTTTGCACTATCTGAGATTGGAGAGAGAGTGAGGACTTAGATTTTTGTTTGAGATCTTCGAGCTCCCCTCTCTTTTCTTTTGGTCCAGGGAAGAACTACGCGATTTTGCTATGAAATCACCACAGACGGCGCCAAATTGTTCGCTCAAAAAATGTTACACATCTTACGAGTACAAAACAATATAAATTAATCCCGGGATAATCATAGCAAATCGTAATAATCCGTTGGACCAATTGAAAGAAATGAAAACAAGAACTCAGAATTAGGGGGAGAAGCATTAGAAACCTTTATTGATAATATTTGTTTGGTCTGCCTCTCCATGAAGAGGTTCAGAGCCTTACAATGGTGTTTTTCTCTTCCCATAAGAGGGGTATATTTTCTCGTTTCTCTCTCCTCTCACTAGTGGTGAAGAAGCCCCCCTCTTCTAGGGCTACTGCTCTTCGTATTTATAGATGTGAGCTTTGTGAGCTGGCAATAAATGGCCGTGGCCATGCTGAAGTTCCGTCCCCATAGGGGAATGACTGGGCCGTACCCTCGTAGATTAAATCGGACAAGAGTCGAGTCCTGTTACGAATAAAGTGGCCATACCACTTTATTAATTATGTATTAGCTCAGGACGAGATTAACTCCGTTAATTATCGTGGGGTCGGATTTTGACCCATACAATAACTAATTAAAATCTTTTACCCTATTAGATTGCTTGAGAAAACTGCATTGTTATGGTTATTAATTAAAATACCTAAAAATTAATTACTCTTGAGAGGGGAAGAGCCGTGTATCATAGGTGTTTCTTATCAACATTTTCGGCTAAATACTGCTTTTATCTATTAATTAGAGTGTTAGAATTAAGAGGTTTCAAGTTCAGATTACGTATTCGTACGAGTTTATACTATTTTTTTTTCTTTCAAGTAGTAAATAATTTTTTAAAATATTATTAAAAATTGAGTTAAATAAAATTAGGACATTTCAGTCAATTTAAGAAAGTAGTGTGACAGAGTTATGAGTTTGGTAATATCGCCTACCTTCTCTTCATGCTTTTAGCTCTCCCACAATCATTACCGGGACCATTCCCTCAATATGCATAGCAATAAAATATTGGTAAGGTAATAGAAAAGCAAACAAATCATATTGTTTCCTTCGTAAAATGAAACAATCTACTGGAATTATATATTTTTTGAAGAGTCTGATATTATTTTGACAGTCAAACAACAACGAAATTTATGGCCAGCAAAATTTTAAAATCATTAGTATATTTAACGATAATACTATAGCAAAAAAGAAGAAGAAGAAAAAAAGCTGAAGCGATAATATCATAGATATCACGGTTTCCTAATAGGAGGCTGCAAGATTTATGAAGTATAGGTCACGTGCGAGCAAAGACAATAGTGGCTACATTATCACGTGTCCTCAAGAGACTGCCCCTATGGTCTGACTAATTCATAAGCAAAGACTCGTTCTTGATAAGATTGTGACGCAAAAAAAAAAAAAAAAACACAAATTAATTAGTCAAAAACATTTTTCAAGCTTTGAAGTTGTATTTGTTAGATAGCTAAAAAAGGGCGGTCAATGCATTAAGTTCCCGTTATATATGTGGTCCGGGGAAGGATCGGATCACGACGGTCTATTGTAGATAATCTTATCTTGTATTTTTGTAAAAGACTGTTTTCACGGCTTGAACCCAGATCAATGACAGCTCCCCTTCATTTGTTTGATAGCTATTGCAGAAATATTGAATTTTCTTTTCAAACTTGTAAATTTTTTGCTTTTTAAGTTTACAACGATCTAAACCCGAGGATCCACACTTAAACGAATTTCTACCACTAAACGAACCGGCTTTCATCAACAGTCATAAACCAAGTCAATATATTGATTGCAAGTCATAAATAAGCAAAATATCATTAAAGTAACATAAATATCGCATAACAATTTGTATAGGTTCAAATTTGGCAACCACGAATGCTACTGAGTATGACGAGGAACGAGGTTATCATGGTATAGCATCCGATGGTCGTCATGGTATAAGGCAACGACCAATGGCAGTTGGTTAATGAATGACGTCCGCGGTGGTGTAAGCTTAGTAGGAGACAGTAAGGATATACTTTTCGAATATTCTCTATGTTGTACCTTTTTTACGGTTTCAGAGGGGATTGTCCCTTATAAATAGGGAGAGTCAGTGAAGAAAGAGGAGGGGACGAAAAAAAAGACAAAAAAACACTTGGTAAAAGAATTATCTGAGAGAAAATACAAAGGCAACCTTATTCATTGATTGCACATTTGAAAATCAGTATCATTGTTCGATATTGGGAAGGATCAAGATTCCTGCAATCATCTCATCCTTATTTCTTATCCAAACTGATCGCATTTATTAAGTTTGCTTGCGCACCTAAAGCTATCACACTTATGAGCATTCATTCGATTTCAATATACTAGGAAGCATCATTCATCTTGTTCATTTCTTTCGTCACTTGATCTAGATTTTATTATGCTTGACTGAGATTTACCCCTTCATTATCATCAATTGATTTAATCAAAAAGGTTTTAATATATTTTGGTCAAACAATTTGGCGCCGTCTATGGTGATTTCTTTAGCTAAGATTTTAGTTTCATCTAGATCAAGCCCTTCCTAGCTTTGCATAAACTAACAATGGCAGGAAAAGGAGATGCAAGGATAAAAGCAATAGCAGGGGTCACAACCAACATCCTGAACACCATCAACGAAGACGGTAGGGAGGATAACGAAAATGTGACACCAAGCGCTACACCTAGGGGAGACACTTCACCTCCCCCGCACGAAAGAGCAATTGCTTCGCGCGAGAAAGAAGCCTCCACATCAACAACAGGAGAGGCACCACCGGCGGTAAAGAGACTACTGGAAGAGTGGCTGACAAATACTCTGAACAACATACTTGATAAACCCACTCAAAGGGAGAATAGAGAGATTACACACACAGATGTCGCAGCAACCGCCGGCGAACTAGATACCCCCCGCATAGGTAACACTCATACTATTATTGACACAGGTAATGACACACTCGCCGCCATCCTAAAGAAGATGGAGGAAATGGAAAACGAGAATAAGGCGCTTCGAGATGAAGGAGCATCAATAAAGGGTCGACAAAATACCAGGCGCCCCAAAGTTGTTACCAAAACGGGACGTTGGTCGATTTATCGAGCAACCATACAATGAAGAAGCAGCCTCCCACGCCATTCCAAAAACCTTCAAAATGCTATCGTACCTGAGGATATACGATGGTACTACTGACCCAGAAGATCACATCATCTACTACGTCACAGCCGTGAAGGGCAACGATCTTTCGAAAGAGCAAGTACCATCGGTGCTGCTGAAAAAATTTCGGAGAAACCCTAATAGGGGGAGCCCTAACCTGGTAGTCGCAACTACTAGAACGGTCAATAGCAACGTTCGAAGTAATGGCAGACAAGTTTGTCATCGCCCATGCAGGAGCTAAAAAGGCGGAAGCAAGGGCAAACGACATTTTCGCCATTAGACAGACGCCCGGCGAGGGGCTTAGGGACTTCCTAGCCCGATTCAACAGGGTGAGAAAGAGCCTACCAAATATGTCAGAAGGGATGGCAGTAGCAGCCTTCCAGAACGGGTAAAACAGGAGTAGGTCGAGAGCGACCAGAAAGCTATTAAGCAGGCTCATGAAATACCCTCCCACCATTTGGGAAGAAATCCACAATGCCTATTGCATCGAGGTAAGGCCGACGAGGACGACCTCAACGGTCCGATCCAGCGGCTGACGTCAGTTCAAACTGAAGCAAGGAAAGATCGTCGCAATGACGATCGTAGGGAGCAGCTACCCCGTCTCAGCCGAGAAAGACATCAGCCCTATATCAGGGCACCCATCCCACCTCCTCCGCGGCACACAGATGTCCCAACTCGACATACCGCGCCACACCGAAACGAAAGAGGTATGCCTCCATTCCTATCTGCTCACAATTTTTGTGTTTCTCCTTTAGAAATAGTGTACGCACTGGAGAAGCTCGGTGCAATGGCCGCAAAAGATCGAAAATCCGACCCGAGCACCCAAAAGTCAAATGTTCTCTGCGAATTCCACCAGGAAAGGGGTCATAAAATCGAGGATTGCATAGGTCTGCGGCAGGAGGTAGTAAGAATGCTAAATCAAGGACACCTGAAAGAACTACTGAGCGACCGGGGACGAGCTAACTTTGCTCGCGGACGCGAACAACCACAAGGACCCCCAAAACCGCCATCTCCCGCTCGTACCATACAAATGATTATCGGTGGAGGCGACGACACAACATTCAACCATGTAAAGTTCACCACTACGCACAAATTCAAACGATCGATCACTCATGAACGGTATGATGATCTCGAAGACAGTATCATCTTTGATAAACCAGATACCGACGGTTTGTGTTTCCCTCACTACTATGCTCTTGTTATCACTTTACGAATTGCAGATACTGATGTAAAAAGAATAATGGTTGATGACGAAAGCGGCGCGTGTATTATCCATCCTCGAGTTCTCGTACAAATGAGACTCGACGATAAAATAATACTACATTGCATAATACTAACGGGTTTTAATAATGCAATCGAACGAACTTCTGGAGAGATAGTGCTACCCGTCCTAGCCGGAGGAGTCACCTTGGAAATGACGTTTCACGTCATGGATCAAGATACAACCTACAACGCTATCATAGGGCGTCCATGGATACACGCCATGCGAGCGCTCCCGTCCAGTCTCTATCAAGTAATCAAGTTTCCCACTCCATGGGGGATATTCAGCATCCGGGGCGAACAACGCATTGCACAAGAGCGCTATTGCATCGCCCAGGATTGCGCACATACCCAACAGCTAAAAGGAGTAAGTGCAGAAGCATAGCAATCAGCAATGTCGGGAACCAAACTCGACGAACAGATAGATGCTATCAAGGATCCCGACATCATAGAGGCCTCCGAGTCGACCATAGAAGACCTCGATCCCGTCCAACTGGACAACAACGACATCACGAAAAAGGCTTATATTGGGCACAACCTCTCAGAACGAGGTAAATTCCATAAATTCTTAACTGACAATGCCGATTTGTTTGCCTTCTCCCATTCAGATATGTCGGGCATCCCAAAAGATATTGCCACACACAAACTGAATGTTGACCCCCTCTGCCCACCTCTGCAGCAAATGAGGAGAAAGTTCAATGCCGCAATCAACGATGCAGTCAGCGAAGAAGTTGATAAGCTGCTCGCCAATGGCTCCGTCCGAAAGTCAAAGTATCCCCAGTGGGTCGCCAATGTGGTCATGGCAAAGAAGAAAAATGGAAAGTGGCGGATGTGCGTTGATTTCACAGACCTAAACAAGACATGCCCAAAAGATTCCTTTCCATTACCGCACATCGACCAGCTCATCGACGCAACAGCGGGACACGAGTTGCTAAGCTTCTTAGATGCCTACTCGAGTTACAACCATATTTTAATGGAAGAAGAGGACCAAGAGAAAACTACTTTTATCACTCACCAAGGAACATAGCGCTACAGAGTCATGCCGTTCGAACTTAAGAATGCGGGAGCAACCTACCAAAGGTTAGTCACCAAAATGTTTAAAAACCAACTCGGCAAAACAATGGAGGTCTACATAGATGACATGCTGGTCAAGTCGAAAAGGAAAGAAGATCACATCGATCATCTGAAGGAGGCCTTCGACATACTAAGGCAGTACGGCATGAAACTAAATCCCGAAAAATACGCCTTCAGCGTAACCTCGGGAAAATTCCTCGGCTTCCTGTTCTCGCAAATAGGCATCGAGGTCAACCCGGATCAGATTAAGGCCATCGAAGGAATACCGGAAACGTTGACCAACAAAAAGCAGGTACAAAAGTTGATGGGTCGGATAGCCGCCCTGTCAAGGTTCATCTCACGGTCATCAGATAGATGCCATAAATTTTTCAATGTGTTGAAGAAAGACAACGGACTCCAGTGGAATTCGGAATGTGTCGATGCCCTAAGAAAACTGAAACCATACTTATCCTCGCCACTATTACTCACCAAGGCAGATCCAGGCGAATGCCTCCTCGTCTACCTAGTCGTCTCCGAAGTCGCAGTAAGCGCAGTTCTGGTCCGCGAAAACAAAGGTACGCAATCCCCAATTTACTATATCAGCAAAACCTTAATAGATGTCAAAACGAGGTATCCCCACCTCGAAAAATTGGCTCTAGCATTGGTCATAGATTCACGAAAGCTAAGACCATATTTTCAATGTCACCCCATAAAAGTGGTGACAACTTTTCCTCTCAAGAGCATCCTGCACAAACCCGAATTATCGGGTAGATTGGCCAAGTGGGCCATAGAATTGAGCGAGCACGATATAACATATCAACCGCGAACTGCAATAAAGTCGCAAGTGCTCGCCGATTTCGTCGCTAACTTCAGTGCAGAAATATTGCCCGAGGTCGAGCAAGAAGCACTTCGTACCTCCCCTGAACGACCTGACCTCTGGGTCCTCTACACCGACGGCGCATCTAATGTGTCGGGATCTGGACTAGGACTCGTGCTTGAAGTCCCAACGGGCGAAGTAATTCGCTAATCCATACGGTGTCCCGAAATGACTAACAATGAGGCCAAGTATGAGGCCGTAATTGCAGGACTGAAATTAGCCCTCAAGTATGGTACACGACGAGTCATACTCCGCTGCGATTCTCAACTCGTTGTAAATCAAGTTACTGGGACTTTCCAAGTCAAGGAGCAGAGATTGCAGAAATACCAGACAGAAATCCACAAACTACTACCGGAATTCGACGAATGTCGACTCGACCAAATACCCCGAGCGCAAAACATCGAAGCAGATGGCCTCGCCAAACTGGCGGCAGCAACCAAAAATATCACCAAGGAAAATGTGGTCACCCTCCTCCACTCATCAATAGACCAGATCGAGGTACATTCTATAAATTTAACTTGGGACTGGCGCCACCTCAATATAACATATTTGCAGGAAGGAACACTCTCGCGGGATATAAAAGAAGCCCAAAAACTTCGAATACAAGCCGCCAGGTACAGCCTCATAAATCATTATCTTTACAAAAGAACGTTCGGCAGCCCTTTAGCCAAATGCCTTGGACCAAACCAATCCAGGCGGGTGCTAGAAGAAGTACACGAGGGCCACTGCGGTGCCCATACGGGAAACTGAGACCTCGTCAGATGCCTTATTCGCGCAGGATACTACTGGCCTACTATGAAAAAGGAAGCCACGAATTACGTCAAGAAATGTGAGCAATGCCAAAAGTACGCCCCCATGATACACCAAGCGGGCGAGCTTCTACATTCCGCTTCACCATGGTCGTTCATAAAATGGGGGATGGATATCATCAGACCCCTCCCAGCAGGCCGAGGTAAGGTGCGCTTCCTTTTGGTTTTAACTGACTACTTTTCCAAATAGGTGGAAGCAGGTGCGTTCGCCCAAATACGCGAGCAGGAAGTCATTGCATTCATATGGAAAAACATAATATGCCGCTTCGGCATCCCCAAAGAAATCAGCTGTGACAATGGACCTCAGTTCATCGGGAAAAAGACGATCGAGTTCTTCAAAAAATGGCACATTAAGCGGATACTCTCCATGCCATATCACCCTGCCAGTAACGGTCAAGCTGAATCCTCCAACAAAACAACATTGAATATATTAAAGAAGAAGCTTGAGGATGCCAAAGGGCTATGGCCGGAGCTGCTACCAGAGGTGCCGTGGGCCTACCGCACCACACCAAAAACCAGCATAGGTGAAATGCCATATTCGTTAGTCTATGGAACCGACGCGGTTATACCCGTTGAGGTCGGGGAACCTAGCCTGAGATACTCCAATGAAAGTGGACCAAACAACGACGAAAATAGATTGCAAGACCTGGATGAGGTGGAAGAACGAAGGGATATGGCTCACATAAGGATGATAGCCCAAAAGCAACAAGTAGAAAGGTACTACAACAAGAAGGCCAAGGTACGACCACTCAAAGTCGGGGACTACGTCCTCAAAGCCAAAACACAAGCAGCAAAGGACCCGATTGAGGGAAAATTGGGAACAAACTGGGACGGGCCATATAAAATCACAGCAACAGCAAGCAAATGAGCATTCCAATTAGAGACAATGGAAGGAAAACTACTACAAAATAACTGGAATGTCGCCCACCTCAAATACTTCCACTTCTGAAAAGTGACTTCACCTAAGTCGTACTCTTTTTCCCTCACCCGGGTTCTGTCCCAATCGGGTTTTCTCGGGGAGGTTTTTAATGAGGCGACGAGGGGGACGTCTCGAAGTTCAAAGTATAGTTCATTGCCCTGCCTGCTGATGGCATCTCCCGGCCGAACAATGAAGGGACTAGATACAAAGAATCTCTATTGTATGTACGAAATCGACATGTATCTCCAACATATGAATAAAATTACTCCGTTGTGTGTACGAAATCGACATGCATCGCCAACGTATGAATGAAGTTACTCCAACAAATATACAAAATCGACACGTATCTCTAATATATGAATAAAACCGGCATATACGAGACTCGAGCAAATAAAACATGTCACCCTCACGACGGGATAATACTTCGGCACCAGCTCGAAAGTAACATCCCAATGGCTAAGGCCATTTTCAAAGAAAAGAGTTCGACATCACTCGAACTATGACGGGATAATACTACGGCACCATCTCGAAAGTAACATCCCAGTGGCTAAGGCCATTATCAAAGAAAAGAGTTTGACATCACTCGAACTATGACGGGATAATACTTCGGCACCAGCTCGTCCCAACGGCTAAGGCCATTATCAAAGAAAAGATTTCGACATCACTCGAACTATGACGGGATAATACTTCGGCACCGGCTCGAGAGTAACAATCCTATGGCTAAGGCCGTTATCAAACAAAAGAGCTCGACATCGCTCAAATCACGACGGGATAATACTTCGACATTAGCTCGAAAGTAACATCCCAATGGCTAAGCCCATTTTCAAAGAGTTCGATATCGCTCGAACCACGACGGGTTAACATTTCAACAACAACTCGGAATAGCATGACCACGGCAAAAGTCTGACAAATAAACAAACAGAAAAGAAACAACAATTCAGAGGTACACAACAAAAATAACTTCTATTACAGCAAATACATTACAAGTCTTTTTTACAAAGAGCTCAAGGACGCCCTCACAAAAAATGGCAAAACAATGATAAATACAACCAGGACCCTACTCCACATCATTCCCCGTGGCATACACCTCTTCGTACCAAGAATCGCAGGCGAGCTTGTCCGCGTCATCAGAATCAATGCCATCTCCGTAAGGCGTAACGGGGTCATACCCGCATGCCTCACGAGCTGCACGGGCTTTGGCACTTACATCCCGAAGTTCTGCCTCGGACGCTCTCCCATCAGCATGAAGAGACTTATACACGCCAAGCTGGCTTCGGCATGAACCCACAATTCATACAAGTCTCGAGGCACGACAGGGTCGGCTGAGACATGGGATGTATAGGGTTGCGACTGTCGTCGCATGCCTTCGTCTTCAAAGCAGCAACTTGCTTGTTCAACGAGGACAACTCCGCCTCCAGATCTTGGGTACGCCCCTCAAGCCTCGCTACCTTAAGCGCAGATGCCTCCACCTCCTTGTCCTGCTCCAATCTACAAACACGGAGGGCGTCTTCTAGAGCCTCTGCCTCAGAGACGGCAGTTGCCCTATCCCTTTCGGCATGAGCCAACCCATCAGTACTGGCACTCAGCTCGCCTTTAAGGTCAACAACCTCCGCCGCCTTCTTATCAAGCTCGGCAGTTAAGTTGGCCACCTTTACTTGGAGGTCGGCATTCTCGGCCATCACCCCCTTACTCAGCTCGAGCTCATCTTCCCTGACCTTAAGGGACGCCTCGAGTTCACTGCAACGGGCGATAGCCTTCATCAGGTACTCATCTCGTTCTTTTAGCTCCTTAACCTTTTGCGCCAATTGATCCTCCTTTTGCTTAAGACCCTCGCGGAACAGCTGAAAGTCGCGATCCTGAGTAAAGATGTCGGCCATTGCACGATGCTTAGTGCGGTATTCCTGATATTTGGAGGACACCTTCCCAAAGACAGCCGTCCTCCGCCTTTCCCTACATTCACGCTCGATCTCCATGATAAGGCTCTAGTATGAAAAGCAAAGTTAAAACAGATCAAGAAAGATTTCAAAGAGAATATTTTAGCAGATATTCGCTGCACTTGTACTATTAGGATTCCCTAGGAATATGTCTCATATAAATAGAAAAAGAGATAATGATATGGGGCATGTAATATTCACTTGTAAGAACTCATTTTGACTGACGGATATCTCTTGCTAAGATACAAACATTACCTTTTCAATCAAGATTCTTGTTTATACTATTTCTCACTTTTCCATCAGATCCGAGAATAACTCGAATATTCAAAGATTTGTCTGTCATTCATCATTGTCAAGAGGAACCTCCATCCATTTCATCCTTTATTGGCTAAATCATTCCTCCTATTTACATAAATGTCATTTATTGACATTCAT